CCCGCGCCCTACCCCGGCCTCAGTTTCCCCGGGTTAGACTGGGCGAGGGTGATAGCGCCTCGGCCTCCTGGTTTGGCGCAGTGTCCAGAGGAGCCGTCTCGGGGTCCCAGGGAGCCTCCCGCACGCAGCCCCGCGCCCCCACCCGCCCCCAGAGCCCACCTCTCGCTCTCCGTCTCCAGTCATCTTCCCGGTCTCCTCCCGTCACCGTCCCTGCGCCGCTGCCCCACCCCCTCCAGTTTGAACTCGTTTCCCGACCTACATCTGGGGCCCCCTCTCTCCCAAACCGGGGAGTCCCAGCCAGCCTCTGACCCGGAGCGCTGAGGACACCGGGCCTCCCCGTGCACCTTCCCCTTCTCAGGCCACAGTTTCACCTACTGTCCAGGGGCTCGAAGCATGACAAGGGCTGGCTGGCGATGCTGGAGCCTTCGCGCCTCTCTCCGGTGGGGAATGGGGCTCACGCGCGCGCCATGCCGGCCCGGGGCCGCTGGCCAGAACGGCCATAGCTTTGCCCCAAGGTTCCCAGCCCTTCCCGCCTGGGGTAGGTCAGGTGCAGTCTGCAGGCACCCCACCCCCGCTCGCGAGTACTGATGGCCCCTCCCCCAGCCTCAGTTTCCCCCAAGCGCGAGGCGGCAGTGGAGGTCAGCCGGCTGGGCCTGGGCCGGTGCGGGCGCTCAGGCTGGGCACTGGCGGGCGGGCGCGCGCGGAGCAGCCATCTTGCAGCAGCCGCGGCTGGGGCGCCCCCGCGGGCGGCCTCCTCGCCCCCGCGCCCCCTCCCCGCCGCCCTCCCTCTGCCTGGCAACCCGCCCCCCAGCTCGGCCTGCGCGCGGTCGCCATGGGAACTAGATTGTCGGGGCAGGAGCAGATGCGTCTCTTTTGTCCTTTCCACTCCCACCAGTGTGGGTGCAGAGGGACCTTCACCTCCCAAGTCGTGACTTGGGGGGAGGGGTTCCTGGCACAGCCCCCGGCGAGTCCCCTTGCGTCCCATCCGCGGCCGGGTCAGCTGGCAGGGGCTGCCCATGCCTCTTTCTGAGGCACCATAAGGGAACTTGGGGTCTCTGAGTGCCACCGGTCTCATGCTCCGGGTTTCCTGAGGAGGGCTTTCCCTTTCCTGGGTAGGGGCTTCCCCGAGCGCAGGCTGCTGTGCAGGGCCAGCCACGCTGGATCAGGGAGGCGGTTGTGACCCGCATGCACATGCACACGTGGACACCGCCACCTCTGCAGGAGTAAAGATGGCAAAACGGAGGTCCCAGGGAGAAGCCCCCCCAACCCCGCTCCCGGTGCGAACGGTGCACAGGGCGGGGGCTGCCGCAGCGCCCTGCCGCTCCTGCCCATGAGTCACCGCCCTGTGTGGGCTCCTGCTCCCAGCAGGGACGAGGGGCTCATTTCCACTAGCTCCCTTGAGGCTGGAGCTGAGCAGTCCGAATGTCCCCCTCCCTCAGCCTCAAGATGCAGCCCACTGCCACCATGGCCACCACAGCCACCACCGCTGCCACAGTTGCCCTGACAACGTCGTGGGACAATTCCACCGTCCATCCCACGGTGGGTGACCTCCGGGGATGGGGCGTGGGAGTGGACCGGAAGTGGGGGCAGCCGGGAGGACCCTGACTCCTCCTTTCCTGCATGTGCCTGCAGGCTGAGCCGGACCCCATCCTGGACAACTATGTGCTGCTGGTGGTGGTGATGTCGCTGTTCATTGGGGGGACGCTGGTGGTGCTGTCAGGCATCCTGCTCCTGTGCAAACGCTGCTGGGAGGTCCACCAGCGCTTCAGGTGCGCCTGCCCCCAAGGATCCTGAGGTGGGGCTGGCCGGGGTCATCAGCCCGCTCACTGCTGTCCCCATCCCTGCACCCCAGGGCCATGGAGGAAGCAGAGAAGACCACCACCACCTACCTGGACAATGGCACCCAACCTGCCCAAGGTGAGGGGCCTGCTTGGCCCCACCACCCCGTCTGTCCATCTGTCCGCCCGCCTGCCGCCTGCCCCCTCGGGCCGCCTGACGGTCTGTGTCTGTCTGTCTCCCCTACCAGACTGGGCGCAGCTCGATTCCGACTCATCTCTGTTTGCTTAACGCCCAGGCGTAGGTGCACACAGGCGCGTGCTGAGCGAGTGAGTGTGTGAGCGGATGAGCGAGTGCCCGAGAGCCCGCCCCGCCTGCCCCAGCCCGTCCCCTCCGTCCGTCCTTCCTTCCGTCCTGCGGTCACTCAGCCCTGCGCCCTCCCCACCCCACCCCGTCCCCATGGCCTGCCCAGGACAGAGCACGGCCCACCTGGGGCCCACCCTCTCTTGGCTCTCCTGGCAGACCCTGAATTCAGGGGCGAGGACCCCGAGAGCCAAGATGTGGAGACCGAGCGCTTCCTGTCTACCAGTTCCACCGGCCGCAGGGTCTCCTTCAACGAGGCCGCCCTGTTTGAGCAGAGCCAGAAGGCTCAGGACAAGGGCAGAAGGTGAGGGGCGTGGCCAGGGGCTATGGTCCAGGGGGTCAGGGCTGCTTCTGTGTGGAGGAGGCTGGGCTTGAGGATGCTGTCCCGGGGCCCTGCCCTTGGACGCAGAGTTGTGCTAACTGGGACTCCTCCCGCAGGTATACCCTGACCGAGGGGGACTTCCACCACCTGAAGAACTCCCGCCTCACCCACCTGCACCTGCCGCCCCTCAAGATCGTCACCATCCATGAGTGTGACTTGGGCGAGGCTAGCTCAGCTGCCACGCCCCACCCAGCCACCACCCCTAAGGATAGCCTGGCCATCTTCCAGGTGAGGGGTAGGGGGTAGCAGTTGGTGGGAGCCAGGTTTCAGTGGGTTGGGGGCTGGGTCCCCCTCACCCTCCCATGCTCTTTGACCTATCACTGCTTCCTCCCCGCCTGGCTTTGTCCCACAGCCCCTGGGAAAGGCCCTCACTGGCCGCTCTGTGGGCCCCAGCTCCGCCCTGCCAGGTGACCCCTACAATTCAGCTGCTGGTGCCACTGACTTCGCAGAGATCAGCCCCTTGGCCTCCAGTGACTCCGGGGAAAGTGCTTCGGTGAGGGGCTCCCTGTGTTCCCCCTGGAGTGTGCCGAGAACTGGGGCTCCTCTTGCCCCACCCCGAGACAGGTCATCACCCTGTGGCTTTATGTCTGGTCTTCACAGGCCTGAGGGACATGGCAAACACCCCCCACACTGGAGGACCTCAGGCTTTCTCTGTGTGGCCGCAGGGGACACGGCCAGCACCTAGCCTAGGTCCCAATCCCTCACTTGAAAACTGTTTCTCCCGAAACTCTGCATGGGTACTGGCAGGGGTCAGAGGGAGGAGCTCTGAGCAGGTTCCTCTGCATAGGAGGGTGGACCCTGCCTCCTGGTACCCACATGGGGCTAGCACTCGGGGCTGGGAAGGGAATTACATGCCTGAGAATGCTCTGTTCTCCCCCAGTTGGATGCAGGTGCCAGGAGTGCCAAGGTTGGTGGGCCCGGGGCCTCAGCAGGGCCTGGGGAAGTAGGGGCAGGCTCCGGGGCAGGCACCGTCCTGCAGTTCCTCACCCGCCTGCGCCGCCACGCCAGCCTGGATGGGGCCAGCCCCTACTTCAAGGTCAAGAAGTGGAAGCTGGAGCCCAGCCAGCGGGCATCCAGTCTGGATACAAGAGGTGAGTTGCCATCCCCACACTGGCCAGGAGGGCTGAGGCCCTGCCTTGCTATGGAAGGGCTGTCGGGGCCCATGTATCCCTGTATACCCCAGCTAGATGCCCTCTGGGTACATTTTGTTCTGTCTGGCCATGACCTTCCCTTGTCTCCTCCCAGGGTGACTTTTTAATCACTGCATCCCTTGGACTGTTTAAGCCTTGGGTTTTCTGGTAGAGACTCAGGGAGAGGGATTTGAGGGGGCCAGCGACTGTCTTCTATAAGGACTGGACAGCGATGTTGCTGCATTGTGTGGCCACACAATCTCCTTGCAACTCCTCCTTTGGTGCCACTCTTGGAGCTAGAATGCAGCCAGAGATGAATGCAAATAAACGAGTGGCTGTGTGCCAATAAAACTTTATGCAGAGACAGGTTGGGGGCAGTTTGGCTGGTGCATGGTGTCTTGAGGAAGGGCAAGATGGAGCATGCAAGGGGAGGTGGGGAGCAGGCACTGTCCTGCTTGGGACCTGGACGAGTAGCTCAGCTCAGAGGGACTGGGGCGGGCTGGTCCTGCTGTCCCATAGAGGCAGAAGGGGAAGCTATGTCCTGGGTGGAGCACAAGCCCCAAGTCTTCAGATGGAGCCCTGATTTCTGGTGGTGATTACAGTCACTCTCAGTTGCAGCGGCCCAAAACCTGTTTCCCGGGTGTGGCTGCCCTGCCCACCCCACGGCCAACCCACTGGCTGCCCTTGGAGGAGGGTCCTGGCCTCTGGCCAGGGGGCTTTGGGTGGGGGTGGGGCACCCCCAGAACTCCCCAGACTAGGTTGCAGCCAGCAGGAGAGGGTACCTCCCTCGCTCGCCCCCTGGCCTCCCCCAGCCTGGCCCCTAGTCTCCCATGTTTCCACAGCCAGGCCTGTCACTGCTGCCCCTGGGTGCCTTTGCTCCAGCCCACACCTGTCTGGCCAGGGCTGCTCTGGGCGTGACTTCTAACCAAGGCCTTTCTCTCCCAGTACTCGGGATATGAACCTAGGGCCTTCCTACTGAGCTCCATCCCCAGTTCCTGTTTTTAACATTTCGAGGCAGGGTCTTGCTAAGTCACTGAGTTGCCTAAGCTAGGTTTGTATTTGCCATCTTCCTGCTTCAGCGTCTGAGAGTGCTGGGAATGCAGGTGTGCGCTGTCATGCTCAGCTGTACCTGTGGCCTTTGAACTGATGCCTGCTTTTAGTCTTAGATTTCTGCCTTATCCTCAGTTTCCTTACTGGCCTCTCAGCATGCACACACCCTGGGAACTACTCTGCATACCCATCCTGCCCTGGGAGCTGCCTGCTGGGACCTGAACATGGGGATGTGTGGGGGGGGGGCGGGGGGAGAACAAAGCAGACCAACAAACTTCCCCTGCACAGGTTCCCCCAAACGCCACCACTTCCAGCGGCAGCGGGCAGCCAGCGAGAGCATGGACCAGGATGACGGGGACGCCCCCCACGCAGACTTCATCCAGTACATCAGCCGTGCAGGCGACGCTGTGGCCTTCCCACCCCCCCGCCCCTTTCTGGCCAGCCCCACCAGCCCGCCCCCCGCTCTCGGCAGGTATTTTTCAGTAGATAGAGGTGCTAGGGGTGGACCTGTGGGCCCCTGCCCTGCTCCGTCCCCCCTAGGTGGCCCAGGGAGCGCCCTCCTGGCCCTGTGGACACGCACTTGCGTCCCCCTGCAAGGACCGAAGGAGGAGGGAAGGAGGGAGAGACTGGGTAAGGGCAGGGGGCCAGGTGTGGCCCCAGATGATGGCTCCAGTGTGCCCAAGACGGGCCACCGTGGACTTGTGTCCACTCTGCTACTGCCATTTCCTGGTAGAACCCAAGGCCTGAGGGGCTCCTCAGTGATGCCTGGCCCCCTCCCACCTGCCCAGACTCCTGAGGGATGGACGGCCTCCCCTCAGAATCCATTATGACCTCTCCCATTCTAACGCGGTTCCCTCCCAACCCCAGCCTCCACGCAACTGTGCTGAAACTGGTGCCCAAGCTAGCAGGAGTTGGGGGGGTGCATGGGGGTGCTCAGGGTGCCTTCCAGGTTCCAGCAGCTCCTGCCTAGGGCAAGTGACTGATCTCTGACTTACTCTCCTGGTCCTATCAACCCTGTGATGGGCGGGTAAAGTGACTGCCCGGTCCATCCTCCAGCCCCCACATCCCTGGAGAGACTAGAAGAGGGGAATGGTAGTTAACTGGTAGGGGAACAGTTCACCCCTGAAACCCTAGGACATTTCCACAGCCCAGTCCTGAGATTTCCCCCACCCGGCTGCAGCCCCTCCCCATCTCACCCTGAGAGGGGGTGGCTGACAGGCTCTGATGACCGCGGCCTGGCTTGCAGGCTAGAGGCTGCGGAGGCTGCGGGAGGAGTGAGCCCCGAGTCTCCCCCGGAGGGCGGCGCCGTCGCGGGGCCCGAGCAGCTGGAGTTGGATGCCGAGCAGGCTCAGGCCAGCTACCGCGACCTGTGGAGCCTACGAGCCTCGCTCGAGTTGCACGCAGCTACCGCCTCAGACCACAGCAGCAGTGGCAACGACCGCGACTCGGTGCGCAGTGGCGACAGCTCGGGCTCAGGGGGCGCGGCGCCCGCCTTCCCGCCACCCTCACCGCCTGCGCCCCCACGCCCCAAGGACGGCGAGGCTCGCCGGCTGCTGCAGATGGACAGTGGCTACGCCAGCATCGAGGGTGGCCGAGGCACAGGTGACGACCTCGTGGTCATCGAGCCGCAGCCGCTGGCCACGCCTGCCCCCCCGCCACGCAGTCCTCGTGCCTGGTCGCGACGGCCGCGCCGGGACTACAGCATAGATGAGAAGACCGACGCGCTCTTCCATGAGTTCCTGCGACACGACCCGCACTTTGACGACACGCCGGCCGCAGCGCGCCACCGCGCTCGTGCCCACCCACACACGCACGCGCGCAAGCAGTGGCAGCAGCGCGGGAGGCAGCACAGTGACCCCGGCGGCGCGCGCGCAGCCCCCTCCACTGGGACTGCAATGTCGGCCCCCGGCGCACCTCGACCTGCGCGTGCGCCCCTGCGCCGTGGCGACAGTGTCGACTGCCCGCCCGAGGGCCGTGCACTGGCCAGCACGGGAGACGACCCGACCATCCCTGTCATCGAGGAGGAGCCTGGTGGTGGGGGCGGTGGTGGGGGTTGCCCTGGCTCAGGCCTCTGTGTGGAGCCCTCGGGGACGCTGCTGGACAAGCTGGCAGCAGGCTTCGAGGAGAGACTCTTCTCCCCACGGCTGGCCGAGCCTGTCCCCACAGCCCCCACGCTGGTAGTTGCCGCTGCTGCCCCTACGTCCCCCGATCACAGCCCGGTCTAAGTCCTGCGCCCCGAGCCCAGTTCTGGGCGGCTTCTCAGGCGCCGCGCGGGGTCTCGGCAGCGGTGGCAGTGAGACAGACCTGGGGACACGATGCCCTGTCGTGTATGCACCTGGACCACGGTGGCTCGTCGTGCGCGTGTAGCCTCGGTGCTCCGGCTGGCTGCCCCAGGAGCGCACGTTCGCAGCTCTGCGCGTCCCTCGAGGGGCGCATATGCAGTCCAGCAGCTGGCAGTCACAGTCTCAGTGCAATGTGGCAGCCCCCTGCCGACCTCCTGCCCTTCACGCGTGCACACGCATCGCCCTTTCTGGGCACGCTGCGGGTTGGTCACCATAGTATCCAGAGGTGCAGTGTTCCATAACCCTGGCTCAACTGGAGGAAGAAATTTCCATCTTTGGGCCCTTGAGAACAAGTCAATGCCAGTGGCCTCAGACAACAGCATCCGGGCCTTGCACACAACACCGAGTTTCTGGCTGCGGAGGGGCAGTGATCCAGGACTGCACTGTGGTTTCAGGATCCGGCATCTCAAGGGACGTGCACAGACTCCCTCCACGGCCAGCTGAAGCTTGAGGCACCAGGAGCATGTGCTTGGGAAGCGAAGTACAGTGCCTGCCAGGCGCATGCGTGACCCCCCCACCAGGGTAGGAACCACAGGGGGCTAAGGATCAGAGTTTTCCATCCCAGGACCTGGGAGGTTGGCTGGAGGCCGCGGTTGCCAACCCCTCCAAGCCGTTTACCTCACCGCGGCATGTGCTCGCGGCAGCCCGCGCCCCCTCCCACTCCGAGCAATAACCGCGCTTGCCGCCGCCAACGCTGCCGCCACGGCCACCAGCCCTAACTCGGCTCTCCTGCTGCCCCTGCCTCCCTATATGCGCTGTCCTGTCTGTCCCATCCCGCATGTGATTGGCCACCCGTGCCTGCCCCTGTCCAGAGAAGCCGCTGGGGACTCGGTGTTGGAGAGGTGGACAGAACACAGTCCAGGTGGCACGACTTCAAGTCTCCCGAGCTTTATTTATTGCCAAAAGATGGGGCCACCGGCCCCGCCCTCGCTGCTGCCCAACCAGTCTGTCCCACCCCAAGACGGCGTTACTGTGTCGTTTTTGTTTCCTGATTGATTATAAATATTTACTGCATACTTGTTTGCTTCTCGTCTTCTCTGGGGACCCAAGACCGCTGTGGCCTTGGCATCCCACACTATCCCACTGCCCACCCTAGCAAGACAAAGCTCAGTTGGGGCCCTGCCTGTGGGGACCATGTGTTCCCACCTAATTCCCAATAATTCCCAAACATCCTCACAGCCACAGCTCAAATCCACCTGTTTTATTTAAAAAAAAAAAAAAAAAAAAAGAAGAAAGAAAAAAAGAAAGAAAACCAACCAAACAACAAAAACGAGGCCGCGGGGCTCCCTCGGGCGGTCTGCATGCAAGGTGCTGGCAGGAGCCTACTCTCCAGGGCCGCGGCATGTCCCCAGCAGCAGGCGGGCAGAGGGCCAGTAGTCTGAACATAAAGTGCATCTCAGAGGCTGGGCCTCTGTCTCCCTCGCCCAGGGAGGGCTCTGCATGGGACTGCAGAGTCAGGTGTCCACTACCCAGTGGTGCTGTGCGCAGGTGGCCCAGGGGAGGGCTGCACCAAGACCCCTGCCACCCCCCTGCCTGGCCCTTGTGCTCCTGATGTCCTGAGCGGTCAGCACAGAGGCACGGCGGCCACCTTCCTGGGTGGGCGGCGGGCTGGGAACCAGCAGGAAGACTGAGGGCCTGGGCTGTGGCCCCGGGCCGTGGCTCCTGGAGACAGGCTGTGGACAGGAGGATATTGGCAGTCACTCTGGGCACCTGGACCTCTCTTTGTGCCTGAGAAGCCATTGGATGGCTGGGGAAACTAAGGTCTGGTCACCAGGGTGGGACAGCAAGGGCAGCCTCTTCCTGCCATGGGCTCCCATACAGGGGGCAAGGACATACTTTAGCAGCGCACTGGGGATACGGCTGGGCAGGGGCAGAGGGAGGCACATAGGAAGTCCAAGCAGCCCAGAATAATGCATCCCTGCCAGGCCCCACCCAGGCATCTTCAGCCACTTGCAGAGCTTTGGGGCTGCATCCAGCATGGCCCCTTCCGGAGCAGCAGGCCCAGCACAGGCCACGGATCCTGGTGTGGCTGGACGAGGTGCTCTGGAAAGCGAGCCCCTCCACCCCACCCCTGACCCTGCCACAACAATGGTGGGTGTACAGGGCAATGACAGCTGGCAGAGCCCTGCTATGTGGCTGGGCAGACTGCAGTGACCAGCAGGATGGCCAGAGAACAGGGACTGAGCAGAACTGGCTGTGACCACCCAAGTGCCACCCCCAGTGACGGGTCTGGGCTCAGGGCCATGAGCTGGAGCCTGGGACAGATACATATTCTGTGCTTCCTCTGTTGGGGTCAGCCAGAAACCCTTCCTCTCCCCGAGAGGCTTACAGGTTGCCTTTGTCCCACTTCTCACCCACCTGCAGGTGGCGCCCTCACTGCTGCTTGCAGGCCGACAGCCGGCGGATCTTGCTGCTGGAGCAGGCCTTGCGGGCCGAGTGGGTGGCACCAGCCTTGGCCTTGGCACTCAGCTGTGCAGACTCTGTGCCATTCATGCACACAGCCTTGGGTAGGCCGAGGCTCTGTCCATTCTGACCCGCCTCCTCCTCTGGGACCTGTCCTAGGAGGAAGATGGCGAGCGAGGCCTGAGCCAGGAACAGTGTTGCTCTGTGCCTGGGCCACACCCACCCCTGGGTGGGCCTCTCTGCCTGCTGTGGCCCCAAGTGGGCCCTGTGGGGACCCCAATCCTTCAAAGGGAGAGCAGGTAGGGGCTCGCCTACACCCACCGGCCATCATAGGACAAGCTGAGCTCAAGGGCCCGAACAGTCCATGACAATGGGAAGCACAGCCTGTGGGCACCCAGGGCCCCCGTCCAGGCCTGTGTCTCTGCTGTGGCAGGGACCACTGCAGTCACCCTGCCTGGCTAGGCACCTGCATGGCAGGCATGGGGGCGGGGTGGAGGCCTACCTCACAAGCAGCTCCTCCAGGCACAGCCAGCCCACCCGCTGGGAGCCACTGTGGTCACTCAGCTGTGCCCAAACCTGCAGACATCACGAGGAATCTGCCACCTGAGGATCCTGGGCCCAGTACGGGCCCTGTGCTGGGCTGGGCTGAGCTGACTTAGAACTCGCTGCCCCAACTCTGCGTGCACAGATACAGCCAGCTGCCACAGGCCCTTTGGTAGTAAGATGCCAGCACTGTTCTCAGGTCTGGGCCAAGTGGATCTGACATCCTGCTGACTTGCAGCCTGCATCCAGCTCATGGGATGGTGAAGGGGCTGCCGGGCCAGGTGGGAAGAGTCAGGTGGATAAAGTGGAACCAGCCCAGGGCAAGTGGGCCACAGCCAGACCCAATGCAGCATAATGCTTCGCACAAAGAGCCATTCCAGGTTGGGGATGCGGTGCCAGACACAGGAAATCCTCCTGGGAAATCCAGGGCACTGGACATAGGAGTAGGAAAGTGGTTTCTATGCATCCCTACCCCTTGCCTGCCAGCATCACCTTTCCTCAAGCCAAAGAGGCCTGACAGCATTAGGGGCCGAAGGGGTTCCTAAGCAGGAACCACAGCCCACAAGCAAGTTTTGGCCTGGCATTCTGGCCTGAGGTATGAAGGGCTACGCATCAGGGCAGAGGGCCCAGACTGGGTCTGGCCTGCCTGCCTGAGGCAGACTTGGGAGCAGCCTGCCAGGGTCTCCTTCCATAGGTGCCCACATGTACACCTCCCCTACCAGGCCGCCCAAGACCCCCAGAAAGCAGCTGGCACCCAGGGGCACACCTGACGGGAGGCATCATAGCCTCCAGTGCCCTGCTCAGCCTCAGGCCAACTGCCAAACCAGGCCAGTGGGGCCCATGGGGCCCAGGTGTTGCTGCACAGTGCTGGGGAGGGGATGCCGGGCTTGCTGAACCCCAGCCTTCTGGGAACCCTCCCCTGCAGCCACAGCCCCTTACCCTGGGCCCACCTGCCTGGCCCTCCCACCTCCCAGGTGCCTTTTCCCTCGAGAGCCCTTGCAGGAGGTAATGGCCACTGGGACCTGGCAGTGGGGAACCGCAGTGCACCACCCAGACACACAGCAGACAAAGCTTTATGGCAGACCCAGTCCAGGGGCACTGGGTGGGGTGGGCAGCAGGGACGGTAGAGAGCAGGCTACACTAAGGCCTGCTCCTCCTCGGCTTCCTCTGTCCTCAGAGGGCTGTGCCCTGGCTCCTCCATGTGCCTCGCTCCTCACTAGCCCTGCCTCAGACACTTCCTGGCCACCTGGGAAAGAAGGTGACAGGGTCAGGGCTGTTGCCTCCGTGAGCAGGAGGAGGGCTGCTGGACCCTCTCTGGGTGGCTGGCTGAGGGGATGCCCTGTGGAAGTGGCAAGCCACCCCTGCCCTTGGCTCTGTGGGACTCACTACCTGTCTGCACTGGACTCGGGCTGAGAAGCCGACAGGGCCTCGGCAGCACCTGGGACGGGTGCCCAGTGAGTCCCCCCAGCCACACGGCCCCGGTACTGGGCAGCTCCCTCAGTCCAACACTGTGCCCTTGGAACAAGGGACAGGGCCACCCCCAAAAGACACCCTAGCCAGGTCAGGTCTGCACATCCCAGCCACAGCCTCTGCCTGCTCACCAGGCACCATGAAATCCTGCGTGTAGATGACACTATCTTCGATGCTGAACAGGTCCTCGTCCTCGTCCTCCTGGGTGCGGCCATGCAGGTCTTCTAGGTAGGGCACCACTGTCATGCTGCGCCACCGGTCCTTGGTATCCGGGCTAGGCGGGATGGGCACCAGTGGCTCAGCCAGTGGGTGTTTCTTCCGGAACCAGCTGCAAAAGCCCAGATGCCATGATGCCCATCAGGATGGCTGCTGGGTGACCAGTGGTCACCACTTACACAGGAGCCTGGGGCCAGGCTGCACCACAGGGTCCTGGCCACTGCGCCTACAGCACCTTTTCCCATTCCCAGCAGGGTGTCCTGGCTACAGTGCTGTCCCTGGGGTGGTGCCAAGCTGCCACCCCTGCACCATGGGCTCTCAACCCCGTTCTGCTGCTACTACCCCACACCATAAGGCTGTGCTGGGCAGGCAGGGTGGAAACACATCTCTGGACCGCGGGAAGCCAGGCTGTGGCCACATGACCTTCTCGGGTTGCTGGCCCTGGCCACCCCATATATTCCAACCCACAACTGGCCCTATGTCCGCACTGAGCCACTGCTGGGCATCAGAATTACACTGGGGCCAGGAACGATGCCCTCCCTCAGGGTCCTGGCCCCTCCCCAAACACTCCTGGGAGGATACTCAAATCCCAGATGACCCAAGGACACGTTTGTGCCAGTGCTCAGCCATTGATCGAACCCTTGCCCTGGACCTAAGGCCTGTGGAAGCTGGAAGAACCCAGCATGGGCAGCAGTGCCAACTAGACCCTCTGCCCCCATGGAGCCCCAAAGCTACTATCCTGGGGCACACAATGGTTGCCTGGCGAGGAACCTGAAAAGAAGGAGCAGCACACACACCTCCTGTCCCCAGGACCCTGAGCTGGGATAGGGCTGTCCAGGCCACAGCAGCACTGCCCACATCCCAGGCCATAGCGTTCACCTCCAGCGTCCTCATCAGACCTCTGCCCTGGGGCACCCTCAAGCAGAAGTCCACCTCGCCAACTTCCCCTTGGCCCACAGCCAACCCCACCTGGACCCTATCACTCCCACGGACTGAGGGTCAGGCCTCCACGGGAGCTCCCAGCACACCTCGGGCACGGCAGCCACGCACCTGTGCTGCCGGATCTGCCGTATGGAGAACCTCTTGGCCGGCTCGTACTCCAGCATCCCTGTGGGGAGCACACACACCAGGCTGGGGCTGGCTCCAAGACCCCCAGGCCTCCACCGCCCACTGTCACCATCTGCCCCACTTCTGCCCACAATCCTCAAATGCCACACACCTACAGGACAACCTGCGTTGGCCCGGCATGTGCCCCAAGCACCAAGATACTAGGTACAGATAGAGGTGAGACACCAGCTCCTTGTCTTGGCCTACTTCTAGCCACAGCAAATGTATGCGAAGCCTTGGGATGAGGGGGCCATGACACCCCACTGTCCACCAGGCT